ATCAAAAACTGGAATGACCTAGCTACCATTTTTCTGTCCCAGTTAATGGGCTCTGTGGCCAGAACGATGCCTAAAGAATGTTAGGTGAGCATTAAGCGAAGGCGAAGAAAATCACTCAAAAGCTATCTCAACAAGCTTATTCTTAGGCCAGCTTATATGGAAGGCCAGGGAGAAATTTCAAAGATTCAGAGAAAGAAGGCTTAGTCATGGCCTGGCCTAGCCTAGCCCAATTTAGCATTTGTTTAGACCTATGTTTTGTACTAGGAACCAAACCTATAAGGGAAACAATACATAAATCAGATTTTTGAAAACTTAGCCCAAATTCGTGATGAAAGTAAAAAGAATAAAAATTAGGGAACTATACATAAATCAGGTTTTTAGTAAACACTATTTCAAAATTAAGGTTGTAGGTTTTAAATTTCAAAAATCAAGTTTTCTTTAAAATTTATTTATGATTTAATTAATTAATTATATATTTTATTAATAAATATATAAAGGTCACAGATATATGAAATTTGGTCACAATTCAAAAATTTTATAGGTCATGATTAGTTCATCGGTCACAAATTAAAAATTTAAAAGCCACAATTTGTTCATCGATTACAAATCACGAAATTTATGAGTCACACAATTTATTTTATGGTCACAAAACATCAAATTATAGGTCATAGATTACTTTTATTGGTCACAAATTAATAAATTTGTAGGTCACACAGTATTTATTGATTACAATTTATTCTTTATTGTGACCAATCAACAAATCATTTGTCACCACAACCAACACAACACCACCGTCGTCTCCCCCGCCAACACCAACACCACCAACCACCACAGAAAACGCACCATCACTGTCGTCTCCGTCTCTGTCGCCAACACCAACACCAGAGAAAATGCACCACCGCGCCAAGACCACCACCACAGAAACGCACCACCGCCCGCCAACACCACCACAACCACCATCACCACCACTTCCCAGCAACAAAATCAACACCAACGCTAACACCGACAATACACCATCCCCACAAGCTCGCCAAAACCACTGCTAGATCCGCCATAGCCAACAACAAAAATCAAAGTCGAAAAATCACCACACACATCCGATAAATTAACCACAGCGACCATTAGCAAACATCAACCATACAACCCATCCTATAAATCAACCACAACAACCATTAGCAAAACATCAGCCATACACCCATCCGCCATAGCCACATCAACCATTAGCAAACATCAGCCATACAACCACCACACCCATCCGATAAATCAAACTAAAAAAATAATAATAAATAACATATCGCGATAGAAAGGTGAAGAGGGGGGGATGGTGGAGAAGATAGCAGATCTCCGACGATGCAGAAAGGGTGAGATGTGATAATAGATAGAGGGGTGGTGGTGCCGACGAGGTGGTGCCAGTTGTCGTGGCGCTGATGGGGCGGCTGGAATAGAGAGATCGGGGAGAGAAAATGGGTCAGTTTTGAGAGATAGAGAGAGGGGGGGAGTGAATGAAAAATTAGGGTTTGAAATTTGATTTAAATAAAAATTAATTTAAAAATCACTAATTAAAACCCAAATTATGTATTATTAAAGTTGATTTTGGATTTGTGAAAGTGGTATTTTAAAAACCCATGTGGCTGTAATTTCCTCAACCTATAACCCTAAAAAACTAGGAACCAAACTATAACTGATCTAGTTGTAGGTCAAAAACCATTAGGAGAAAAACCAGTACAAAAACCTAACATTGGAAACTAGTACTCCTAGACATGGTTTA